GTGATACATTTATATAATGGAATATTACTCAGCCATATAAAGGAAAGAATTTTAGTCAGTTGTAGTGAATTGGGTGAAAATAAGCCTGTTTTGGGCTTCCCAGGTAGTGCTAGTAAAGAACCCGCCTGTAAATAAATACAGGAGACGTAAAAGATGTGGGTTCAATCCCTGGTTTGGGAAGATCCCCTGGAGAAGGTCATGGCAACCCACTCCAGTATTCTTGCCTGGAGAATCCCATGGACAGAGGAGTCTGATGGACTATATACAGTCCGTAGTGTTGCAAAGAGTCAGACACAACCGAAGTGACTTAGTACACAGCACAGTGCTTGTTACACAGAGTGAAGTAAGTCAGAAAGAAAAAAACAAATATGGGCTATTAAAGCATATGTATGGAATCTAGAAAAATGGTAGTGATGAACCTATTTTCAGGGAAGGAATGGAGACACAGAGAGAATGGACTTGTGGACATGGTGGGGAAGGTGGGGGATGAAGTATGAAAGTAAGCCCTGATATATATACACTACTATGTGTAAAATAGATAGCTGGTGGAAGCTGGTATGTAATACAGAGAGCCTGGATTGGTGCTCTGTGATGATCTAGAGGGGCAGGATGGGGGTGGGGTGGGTGGAAGGGAGGCTTAAGAGGGAGGGTATATATATATAGTTTTGACTGGTTTGTAAAGTTGTATGTTAGAAACCAACACAACACTGTAAAGCAATTATCCTCCAATCAAAAAAAAAAAAGAAAAGAAAAAATAGCAATTTCTATATTAAAGAAACTAACATTTCAACAAATATATATCTAGTGAATTGATTTCTTTCCACCTGTGAAACCACTGTTGAAGAATAAGAGGGGACGGAAAAGCAGATATGCCAATGATAGAGAGGCAGTAGTGACTAAAGGAAAACACCTGGCCCAGGAGTCCTGCAGCAAAGAAAAAGAAAGATTTTTGGTACTTTGAGATAAAGCTCTCTTATGGAGCCTTTATATAGGGAACAATGAATGCTAATACTTTCTGTGTTTTAACTCATTTAGGAGAACTCTGTGAATCATAAAGCCATGAAACACTATATGAAGACGAAACAATCATAAACTATTACGGCTTCCTATGGTGGTTCAGTGGCAATGAATCCGCCTGCCACTGCAGGAGACCCGGGTTTGATCCCTGGTTTGGGAAGATTGCCTAGAGAAGGAAATGGCAACTCACTCCAGTATTCTTGTCTGGGGAATCGCATGGACAGAACAGCCTGGCAGGCTACCTTCCCTGGGGTCACAAAAGAGTTGGATGGGACTTAGCAACTAAACAACAAATATATTTCAGAAGAGAGCCACAATCCCAATTTTTAACTCCCTGATGTCATCAATAAACTCATACATAAGTATCTAAATAAAACATTTGCTTGCTTGAGATTAAATAGCTTCTAGAAATATAAAGTGTGAAGTAAGAGTACATCATGAGAAATGTTGGGCTGGATAGAGCACAAGCTGGAATCAAGATTGCCAGGAGAAATATCAATAACTTCAGATATACAGAGGATACCACCCTTATGGCAGAAAGCAAAGAGGAACTGAAGAGACTCTTGATGAAAGTGAAAGAGGAGAGTGAAAAAGTTGGCTTAAAACTCAACATTCNCTTAATAGGGCTTTCCTGATAAAGAATCCGCCTGCAATGCAGGAGACCCGGGTTGAATTCCTGGGTTGGGAAGATCCACTGGAGAGGGATAGGCTACCCACTCCAATATTCTTGGGCTTCCCTTGTGGCTCAGCTGGTAAGAATCTGCTGGCAATGCGGGAGACCTGGGTTCTATCCCCAGGTTGGGGAGATCGCCTGGAGAAGGGAATGGCTACGCACTCCAGTATTCTGGCCTGGAGAATTCCATGGAAAGAGTTCCATTCCTTTCATTTCTAAAAAGCAACAGTAAATAATGAAGTATTTCAAATAAGGTTTCTGTGAGAAACATAAACACAAATAAAAAATATCTGCCACTTACTCTGGAATGTGTAAAATGACTGCTTGTAATAGCACTGTATTTGAATAAGTCATACTGTCACAGTGACCTTTACTGATATACTATTTCCCAATATAAAGCATCAATCCTGCTGCTTAAAAGATCTTTTTTGTGCAAGACCTGCAGATATATCAGGTAACAAAATAATGATTTGCTATCTGTATAGTCCATGGGGTCGCAGAGAGTCATACAGGACTGAATGACTTTCACTTTCACTTTACTCCTTAATTCATTCCATAAATACATACAGAGAACTTCCTATGTTCTGGACTGTTCTTTCAGGACACAGAATAGGATGTGCCCCTCTAAACACTCCAATTGTGTTCTTGTGTAAAGGAATAACTGAAACAAAGTGTCATGGGGCCTGGCCCCACCTTGCAGAATCTAAAGGGGGCTAAGAAAGGGAGGGGCCAATTCTTTTTGTGTAGTCCAGAAAGTCTTCCAGAGGATACAACACCTAAGCACATGCATTAACCATGACTGGATCAGGAGGTCAAAGGAGATTTCCAAATAGAAATTGAGCAGAATCTTGGAAACCTGGGCAATTTTGCAGTAGTTCATCACAATGAGAGAGCAGCAAGGGAAGGGAACCTAGAGAACCAAGCACTGGCCTGTCAGTGAGTCTACCAGGAAATGAAACATTACATGTCTGCTCACATTTACTTACAAGTTACATCATCATACCTAATTTCAGTGGGGTGGAGAGTATAATCCTCCCCTACACCTAAACACAGAAAGAGGACAGGGAAAATTAGTAAGCACTCAAAATGCCTTCAGCAGTCATGAAATGTTATGGTAATGTTTTATGGTTCAGGTTAGTCTAATGGAGTTTACTAGCATGTCATAAATTAAGGTTGAAACTAACTAAAGTTTATTCTTCATCCAGCGATTGGAAGTTACTTATCTGATTCATGAAACTGTTTAACCTGTGTTATTTAAAGACTAAAATTCAGATGGATTTAAATGAGTGATTTGATTAATATTAATATCCAAGAAAATATTGAAAAGCAAATTTTTCTGGTATGGTTCTGATATTGTAATCCACATAAGCTACTTTTTTCCCCTTTTTATAATCAGAGATACACTGAAAGGCAAAAATCATGCACAGGAGTGAATAAATATTAAGTTAATGCCTCTCCATAGAGACAAAAGGCATACTACTAGATATTTAGTATGTTACTTAGTTTCAGCAATCTTTGTATCAATCACTGTAGTTCCAGCTACAATGGGTATATAACTGAGAGAACATTTAGTCAAGCAATGGTTCTAAGTATCAACCTAATTACCACCTTCCAAATGTTATTGTATCAATAGGGTGAAATGGCTAACACAGATGTACTACACGATGCTAATACCACAGTACAGGCCTCATTTACGACCTTCTTTCACCTAACCTCTCTACTACAGTTGATGGAAATACTTTAAACTGTAAAGTTACTTTCTTAATTAATTCACATTTTTCGGAATGCAAACTTTCGGGCCCATCAGAATTGGCTTGCACTTTACAAACCTGGCAGGCACGCATGATAGCACACAGGATTTGCAAATACTTGTTTGTCAGGTGTAAAGAATCCCGTAAAGAGCATGCACGTGGGAACTAAAACGTATACACAAGTACACGGTTGTGCCTATGGGAGTCCTTTCTTCCCATAAAACTTTCAAGAGGTGAATAAAACCTGTCATACGATTCTTACTTTATAGATCGTTATTAGACATAATATTGTCTGGTCCTCATGTCACAGTTGTTAAAAGCTTAAAAATAAAAAGAAGGAAAAAAATGCCTCTGAAGACAGGACAAGCTTAAACCCGCCACCAATTAGAAAGATCACAGTGTCACAGGTATGCTTTTAACAGGATAGCAACCTCAGAGGTCAAATTGGGGGGGAAAAAAAAAGAAAGCACCCTGGACGGAGGTCACACTGCAGGGAGGGCAAGCTGCAGGCCCCATCCTGCGGGTTTCTCCTGGTACTTCCGCAGCCCCCAGGTTCTTCGCTCCGGTCCCCGCAAGGGGGTACGTTCCCTTCCTCCCCACCTGTCCGGCTGGGCTTCCCGAAACGGTGCCCTAGCGGTGGGAGTGAGAACACGCCGCGCAGGAGCCTCCTTTCGGTTCGGCTTTCCCAGCTGGACCCCGAAGCCCTGGGGGAAGGAAATTACCACTCAGTGCTCTCCCACCCCCGCCCCGTTCCTCTCTCCGGCTCGCTGCCTGTCTCGCTTTGATGCCGCCGAGCCCCACCGCCACTTCTGGGCGGCCTTCAGGCGGAGGCGGCTGCGAGCTCCCGGGCTCCAGGGAGGGAGATGGGGCAGGGTGAGTAAGCCGGCCCAGGGAGAGGATCCGGAGCACCCGCCCATGGGCAGAGGAGGCGCTGTCTGGCCCGGCCCGCGCGGGGCAGAGCCTGGGAGAGGCTTGCCGCTCTCCCCTTCCTCCCAGTCCCGGCTGGGAGCCGAACGCGAGCGCGCCGGCCGGGGGCGGGAAGAGTGGGAGAGGAAGCCGCGGGAGAGAACAGGGAGCCACTGTCTCCTTTTGAAAAGAAAGTAGGAACCCTGGGTGGGAAAAAACAAAGGCGCCCTCCCAACTTTTCTTCGCGCGAAGTTTTCCCAGGGCGTTTTGTTTGTGAGAACTCGGCCGGCGGAGCCCGGGATCGCGCTGCCGGCGTGGCGGCTCTGCCTGTGCGCCTCGCCCCGCTCCTCCTCCTTCCAGCCTGGGCAGCTCCGCTCCCTCCCCGGGAGGCGCCAAATGGCTACCCAGTCACCTCGCGGGGCGGGGGCTGCAGCGCCGCCTCCTGCCGCCGCCGCTCCGGGCGGCCGCTAGACCCGGCGGCGGCGCTGCCCGCGGACGGGGAGCCGGGCCCGCAGGTGGAAGCGCACCCTGGAGGCGGACGGGCGGGTCCCGGGCTGGGGGCGGCTCGGGCGGGCTCTTGACGCGGGCCAGCCGCGCTCGGGCCTCGGGTAAACGTGCGTCCCGCCCTGACCCGCCGGCCTCTCCCACTCCAGGAGTGACGCGCTGCCTCGGAGCCAGAGCCCGCGCAGCGCCCCGCAAGGCGATGGACGGCCGAACCCCGCGCGTGCAGGACGCTCCGGCGGCGCTCCCGCCGGCCGCACCCACAGGGTAAGCTTCGAGCGCCGCGCCGCCCCTCACTCAGGAGGTCGAGAGCTGCCGGGCCTTCACCCGTCACCTGGCTGGCAGCTCGCCGCCCCGTCGGCGGCCGAATTCACCAGCCGCGGGACACGCGGCCGACGGGGCTGCTTCCTCCCGGCCTCCTCGGAGGCCGCCCCGGGGTGGGGGCTCGGTGGTTTTTGATTGCTTTCCTACCGGGCTGCTCTGAGTTGCTAAAGGGCAGCTGAATGCCAAGAATTGGGTAAGGACTCCGGGAGCAAAAATGGTAACAAAGGGCTCCTTGTTGGGGCTCTGGGAGACCAGAGGACGGTACCTGTAAGTGAGCTGCTGAGAAAGGGAAAAAAGTTTCCTTGGCCGAGGGCTGAGGCTCAGCAGGTGAGCCGTGTCAAGGTGACTGTAAGGAGGAGGCTTTCCGCGGGCGGGTGGAGGGCGACGGGAAGGTGTGCCAGCTGTCAGCCCGCAGTGACAGTTCCGGGACCCGGCCGGGTGCGCGCCTCCGATTGGGGGTGTGTGTGCTGTGGTCAATTGCCAGTGCCAAAGCCTAGCGCAGAGTCAGACCGCAAACACGGTGCATTTCTTTGTACCCTCACATGTTTAGGAGAGATTGGAATGGAAGGGGCTGTCACATGGTGAGTTAATATTCAGTGGAGCACGTCTTCCTGCCAGATATGCTAATAATCACCTTGCTAAGCGTTTGGGTAAACAGTCATGAGAACAGGTAGTTCTGCAAGAGGTGGGGAGAATCTGAAAATAACCTTCGTCTTGGTAAACAGTGAAGGCTTTACGTGGGCGCTAGTTGAATTTCTGAAGCGGGATATCCCTTTGGGAAAGTGTAACATTTTCCTTCAAGTGTTCCCCCAATTCAGTTTCTTTTCCTATAGTTAATCGGAACACAGCAGTGCTCTCAAGAGACTATGAACATTCAGAAAAGAATCGGTAAGGAAAAGTCTGTTTTATAGCTAATGAATGAGAGTTGCACAGTTGTCTTGATTTGAGAGTAGAAAAGTCATTTTTTACGCCGGAACATGACACGTTTCCTTAGAAGCAAGTCGCAGCAAGTTTATTCATCAGAGACCATTCGAACATTGGCAGTTGTCTAGAGGAAACATGGAAAAGTCTCAAAGCAGCATGACTAATATAAAAGATATTTAGTATAATGCTTACGTAGAGGAAACATGCAGTGTATGAATTAATTCTTTTTCTTCCAATTAGTTATCTTCTCCCCTCTGCAAATAGCTGTATTTCTGTTGACTTCCGTTCCTATTCTTTACCCAGTTTTTTCATTATTTAGATATAATCATATATATTCTTTCATATATTTCATAATATATATAATGTATGGAGAAAGAAGTAAATTGGCAGGAAGATGTTAATCATAAAAGCATGAACCTCTAAAGGGAGCTTCAGGAATACTGAAAGGTATTCAGGTATCTCAAAATAAAATAGTATTACATTGGTGGATTTGAAAGTGGATTAGACTATTTGGGCTTCCTCCATGGCTCAGTGTAAAGAACAATGTAGGAGACAGGAGTGGAGGGTTGGATCCCTGACTCAGGAAAGCTCCCCTGGAAGAGGAAATGGCAACTCACTCCAATATTCTTGCCCGGAAAATCCCATGGACAGAGGAGCCTGGCGGGCTACAGTCCATAGGGTTGCAGAGAGTCCAACATCACTGAACACACACACAGATACTATTAAAAAAAAAAGGAAAGAACCCAGCATATGCACATACACAAAATACACTAGTATACTTTTATGGGTGTTCAGAAGTCAAATAATTCTGTGAGTAAAATAGGCGAGGTCAGATGCCTCTTACATAAAGGAAATGAGAAGAGCTTTCTAACGATAAGCACGACTGTAGTAAGACACTTCAGATTTTACTTTTGAGGATTTAAAGGTTAAACTGAAATTCTGTGCTTCAAAAGAATGTATAAAATTGCTTTAATTTCTGAAATATGAAGAAAATACATTTTAGAAAATTTGCCCTGCCCTCTCCAAATTTAAGAAGAGATAAGTTGAAAAATGCTTCAACATCTTATCTAAAATAGCATCCACTCCCCCATACCATTTTACTGTATTATTTGGAGAAGTTAACAATATTTGAAAGGTATAAATGTTGAAAAAAATATTACTTCTTTGCTTTCACTTGTTTGTCTTGTCCCTGCGTGTATTCCAAGTGCCTGTTATGTAGTATTGGTTGACTATTCATTATTCAATATTACTTTTGTTCTTTTTCTCAAAACCCCAGTATGTTTAAAAGGTTTTAATTCTGAGGGAAAAAAAGCAATTATTATAGAGATGGACAGTTCTTTGGGAAGTGGTAGGGCCAATCTATATGTTATAATAAATGTTAGGTTTGAAAGTACATTCTTTACTAACTAAATCATGACTCCAGTAATTTATGAGGCCTAGCTTAGTCCTTAACTTATGAGGCTTAGCTTAGGTCTTACCGGCTTCCCTGGTGGCTCAGGCCGTAAAGCGCCTGCCTGCAGTGCTGGAGACCTGGGTTCGATCCCTGAGTTGGGAAGATCCCCTGGAGAAGGAAATGGCAACCCACTCCAGTACTCTTGCCTGGAAAATTCCATGGATTGAGGAGCTTGGTAGGCTACACTCCATGGGTTCCCAAAGATTTGGACACGGCTGAGCGACTTCACTTCACGTCTTAGTCCTTATTCTTGAATATTGCTGCTCTAAAGAATGCTTCTGTACTTTTCCAAGTTTTAGATCCTTGTAATATGTCATTTTATAGAAGTTTAATGCAACTCCTTATTTTACAAATGAGAATCTGAAGCACAGAGACAGTGATTTTTGAAGGCCCAGAGCAAATTAATGGCAAAACAGGAAGGAAAACCCAGGGTGTTAGTCGCCTAGTTCATTGCATTAATTGCTTTTAATCTTTTTCAGATCACAATATGATAACATTTCAGCTGGATGCATTATCTTTAGAGCTGCTAGTGCTGGTGATTTTACTTACCAAAGTGGATAGATATTTTTAACTCTTTGAAATTTAAATGTCAAAAGTTGACCTTGCTTTGAGGGACCTTATTGGTGTTTTGATTCTGAAACAAGTTTTCAAGCATGGCACATTTGCATATTTCTTTATTGACTTGCAGCATTGGAACTATGGAGCTAATTGAAGGCATAGTAAAAAATTAAGAAATGATTTAGCAGCTGCTTCCTTTAGCTTTTATTTGGAGGCATCTTTGGTTTGGAAGTTTTACTTTTGATTGTTTAAACAGGTCTTGTTAGCTAACATGTATTAACTACTTAGAAGCTGAATGCCTTAGCAAAGGTTTCAACATAATCACCTAGGTATCTTTAAAACAGGTACACATGCTCTCACACTCTTACCTATCCTAATTTTAATTGATCTGGGAGGGGAGCAGGGCATGGGGAGTTTTAAAATACTGCTAGGTGTTTCTAATATGCATCCAGATCTGAGAATCATTGATTAAGCAGGTATCACCAGCTGAGATAGAGATGAAACCATAAATGGAATGGAGGCTGCCATTAATCATTTTTAGTGAACTTAAGACCCTAGCGTTCAGCTTTCTTTTTACTTTTTGAAAGATTCCATTTAGATGCTCTATAGTATTGTTTAATTTTAATTTTCTTTTACTTTTTGAGGAAGTATATTAACTCCATTTTATGATTTTGTATCTGGGGCTCAGATAATTAACATATGCAGAGCTATACAATGCTAAGATGTGCACGAGTAATAAAAACAAGATCTGATGCCCAAAACTATGCTCTTCATCCCGAGGCCTGTTACCCAGGATGTTTGCTACCATGGCTGATACTGAACGGATTATTTAAAGTGGCCTTATGCAAACGTCTTGAAATTACATTTGTAGTATGTTAAAAAAAAAAAAAATCCTACAAAATTGAATGCATATGAAAAAACCCAAAGCCTACCATTTAAAAGGAACTTAAAATTTTGGTTTATATCTTTAAAGTCATATTTAACATTTTCATGTGTTTGGGATGATTTATCTCATAGTATATTGACACCTTTCTTTTTGTCAGATGACAGATATGTCATAGCTATACTTATTTTTGCTCTTGGGCAGCAATTAAATTTATTATAGCATAATTTCAAATGTAGGGTTTTTGACCAAATAAGAAAAATAAAAGTGTTTTTTAAGACACTGCTAGACATTTTTTTCAAAGTCTATAATTTTCTCTGAATGTATTAGATGGTAATTTAATACCATTATCACTTAACCTTATTATTGAAATGCCAGTTGTATTTATATAATAAATTTCAAGCTTCATGTCATTGAGACAACTGCTCTAATGCAATTAATTAGTCAAAACTTGTGAGCCCTTATTTTACATTAAACACATTTTTCTGGGCACGGGGAGACTGGCTCCTGATCCAAAGAGCTTTACTAAAAAATTATTTGTAACTCTGCAGGGAAAAAAGGAAAGTGCTGTTAGTGTAGAACTGGTACTTTGATATTAACTTTAAAAGCATACTGTGGATATGCTTAGGATTTAAAATATAATGTCATGGTTCATTGGCCAGCAGACTTTGTTCAGAGGGTTGAAATGGGCCCTCTATCTGTTTGTCTTATGTTTTCCTCTTTTTTTTTTTTTTTTTATTGTGGAGTAATACACACAAAATTTACCATCTTAACTATTTTTAAGTGTACAGTTCAGTATTAGGTACATACATAATGTGCAACTGTTATCATCATCTATCTCCAGAACTCTTTTCATCTTGCATAATTGAAACTCTTTACCCTTTGAACACTAACTCCCCATTTCTCCTCTCCCCACCACTCCCGACATCTGCTATTCCTCTTTCTATCTCCATGATTTTTGACCACTCTGATTACCTTGCATCAGTGGAATCAAACAGTCTTTGTCTTTTTGTGACTGGCTTACTTCACATATTATAATATTCTTAAGATTCATCCATGTTGTATCATATA